CTCACCACCTGATGACCAAGGCACAGCCCATTCCCAGATAACAATCCCAGAGAGTCCTGAAACCCTAATCCCACAAGTGAGAGAGCCAGAGAGAAAGAAGGCTTCCTAGCAGATGCTCGTCTACATACTGGGCAGGAGGTTGTATGATATAGAATATACCATTGTCTGTTTGGGCCTCAATCCTAAACCTAAACTCAAATTCTAAACCAGTAATTGTGGGGCCATTGCTCTGGCTATGCTCCTTCCCAGCTTCTTGTGAACCTGCACACTAGCAAAACATGGAAAGCTGAAAAGTCCTTGATTGTCTTAGCAACAACTGAAAACATCAGTTTGTTATCAACATTCTTCTCGTACTAAATCCAAAACACAGCACTATTTTAGCTATTAAGAAGAAAATTAACTGTATCCCAGTTGAAACCAGGACAGAAAGAAAGGTGTCTTTACCATCAGCATAGTTTTCTGCAGTCCTGGGATCCATTTACTTGTGTAAATAGCAAATGCCATAGAAAAAGGCTAGACAATCTCCTATGCATGATTTCTGACTCGACTTTCCAAAGCCCTGGTGACTGTTAAGGGGGGTATTTTAGAGTTGATGAGTCAATATCCTGACACTCCTGCAGAACACCAGTCAAGTTGCCTAGGTCTGTATCTTCTTGTGCCAATGACTGAAACATGCAACATGGAAGTATTTTATATTTCCATGGAAGATATTTGCAGTTGCTGATGACTAAATGTGATGAAAAATAATGAAAAATTACTGAAGTGCATACATACAATGAATGTTATTTTAAAAAACAATGAGTTAACAAATATAAAAGTGAAAGCATTCTGATGTTAGAGAGGGATTGGTATTAGGGATAATCTGTTTTCAGTTAGACTGCTTCAAGGAGTCCAGCCTTCTTAAAGAGTTAGTTTCTGTTTGTATGTTATAATTGGAAAGACAGTACAGGAGATGCACAAATATATATACATGTATAGGAGATGCATATGCATGTATATATATATACATATACATATGTACTTACAGATAGATACAGATACAGATACAGATATAGATATAGATGATATAGATATAGATATACACACACACAGGAGTTGGGATGATAATGCACAATATCCGAAAGGTGTTGGTAAATTCTGTAGTAAGCACTGATGCTAAAGCCTGCCAGTGTAGAAGAGACTTTTGAGAATACATATGAAATGCATGCTGTGAATAGTAGTTTAGGTGGGAAAGGGAGAAAGAAGAAATGTTAGAAAGGGCTTTAATATTTTTCAAAAGAACAAGAAAATGGTCTCAGAGGTAAAATCCATCTGTCAAATGACAATGTTAAAACAAGGTGAACATGTATTATATCAAAAGACCATAAATCTGAAGTCTTTGATATTCTACACAGTATTTTTTAATAGGATGGATATCATCTTCTGTTAATGAGTCTGGGTATACTGAAAGGGACTTCCAGGCCTAGTAGATTCAAGCACCTTTATGCAATAATAAATATATTAGCTTCAGCCACTGGTTACCACCACTCAGGCTCCACTCCTTGATATACTCCAGCTCATATAAATTGTTACTAGAGAAGTACAGAAATAGCCCAATAGGCAATTTTTTTTTCCTCTCACCTGGTGTTGGTCTTGATCCTACAAATGTTTTACAATAATAGCTTTATAGGTATCCTTAGTAACTGCCTCTGTGGTGCTGCTTCCATCAGTGAAGATACTCTGAAGTCATGCATTTGCAGGATCACTTTTTAGATAATAAAATCTTCAGAGGCTTGCTCTGTTTGATGTGATTAACAAGAAAAGAACAACGGATTAAATTCTGCATTTACTTTTCTTACAATCTAATATTCTCATTCAGAAAATGTCTCTGTGCAGGTAGACCTCTTACACCTTACACTGAACCCTTTTGGCTTCCACTGAATGCACATTAAGGCTTTAAACAGTCTGATTGAAAACAGTTCGAATCAGGGAGATAAACGAGAAGAAAACCTGACTTCTTGCATCCTTGACCGTTCAACGTTGATACCAGTTTTCTTCAGAGGAGCAGGGTAGTTATCCTGATTTATACCAACCAAGCACCAAATCCTAAGATTAGGCAAAATTGTTTAGATTTATCTTTTCCATTTCTCAATTTCATCTGCAGAGAAATTAAGACAAGAATGTCCATCAAATTAATCTTTTCGTTACAATTTGTTGAAGGGCTTATTCAAGACAAGGAATTAATTTTGCTTAAATGCTAGGACCAACAGAAACGGATTTTCCCTGTGGATGGTAACATTTCTATGATCAATAATTTTCAGTTACTGTAGTGGGTTATTTTATATAGTGGATTTAAGTACAATGTATCCTTCCTCTTCATCTTTCAGCTGTCCTGACTCATAAACACATGAAAACAATTTTATCTTGCCATATGGCTATTTAAATAAAGTGATATCTGAAAGTTAAACTCACACCCTGAATGCTTAACATGCAATCACTTCTTTGTAGCTAAATTGTCCCTCGGGATGGCACAATGCACTTAATCTGAAATTAAAAAAAAAAAAAAAAAAGTCACATAGAAAGCAAGCTTACAATCAGGAAAAAAAAAAAGTATATACATGTAAGAAGAGACTCTCTTCAGAGATTTTTTTTCCACCAGAGTTTGAGGAAAATAACACAGCCTCATGCTTTTTACCATGCCTTTTTATTACTGAAATGCTACTCAAGGCAAAAGAAAAAAAAGGTGTGTGTAGCTTCTAGTTTTGCAGTTTTTTTGGTGAAAAAACCTTTGCATATATGTATTTGTGTAATATAGCTTTCTTTAAAAATACGTGCAACTGTGTTGTTGTGCAGTTCAGAGAAATAATAAAATGTGTTATCAGGAAGCACTTGAGCCTTGTTTGGAAGCAAGATGAAGAGCTAGGTGTTCTACTACACCAGGCTTCTAGGTAAACATACTAATTTAATTCTCTAAAAATTTTGCCTAAATACCTTGAAATCTATTCCTTTTTAGGAAGAGTCACAAATTGAAATATGTAAGTAAAGGTTGTACAATGTGACAAGGTGTACAATATATGAGATTAGAGTACCCTTTGTACTTAATATTACAAAAAGCTTGGAACATGGCTTATTTTAGAATCACAGAATCATAAAATCATAATATGGTTTGGGTTGAAGGGACCTTAAAGACCCTGTTGTTCCAACCCCCCTGCCATTACCAGGGTCACCTTCCACTAGACCAGGTTGCTCAAAGCCCCATCCAGCCTGGCCTTGAACACCTCCAGGGATGGGGCATCCACAACTTCCCTGGGCAACCTGGTCCAGTGTCTCACCACCCTCCCAGTAAAAAATTTCTTCCTAATATCTAATCTACATCTGCCTGCTTTCAGCTGAAAGCCATTACCCCTTGTCCTATTTCTATACCCTCTGCTGAAGAGTCCCTCCTCATCTCTCCTGTAGGCCCCCTTTAAATACTGGAAGGCTGCTATAAGGTCTTCCCGGAGCCTACTCTTCATGACGCTGAACAATCCCAACTCACTCAGCCTGTCCTCACAGGGGAGGTGCTCCAGCCCTCGTCAGGAGGGCTTTGTGGCCCTCCTCTGGACTCGCTCCAACAGGTCCATGTCCTTCCTGTGCTGAGGACGCCAGAGCTGGATGCAGTACTCCAGGTGCGGTCTCAGAATAGCAGAGTAGAGGGGAAGAATCACCTCTCTCAGTCTGCTCGTTATTTTTCTCTTGATGCAGACCAGGACATGGTTGGCTTTCTGGGCTGCAAGTGCACCTTGCCGGCTCATGTTGAGCTTCTCATCCACCAGCACCCCCAAGTCCTTCTTCTCAGGGCAGCTCTCCATCCATTCTCTGTCCAGCCTTTATTTGTGCTTGGGTTTGCCCCGGCCCATGTACAGGACCTTGCATTTGGCCTTGTTGAACTTCATGAGGTTGGCATGGGCCCATTTCTCTAGCCTGTCAATGTCACTCTAGATGGCATCCCTTCCCTCCAGCATATCGAACACACCACACAGCTTGGCATTGTCAGCAAACTTGCTGACCACAGCTCTTTGGGTGTGACCATCCACCCAATTCCTTAACCCCCATGTGGTCCAACAGTCAAATCCATGTTTCTCCAATGTAGAGACAAGGATGTCATGCTGGACAGTGTCAAATGCTTTGCACAAGTCCAGGTAGATGATGTCAGTTGCTCTTCCCTTGTCCACCAATGCTGTAGCCCTATCGTAGAAGGCCACTAAATTTGTCAGGCATGATTTTCCCTTGGTGAAGCCCTGTTGGCTGTCACCAATCACCTCCTTATTTTCTATGTGTCTTAGCAGAATCTCCAGGAAGTTCTGCTCCATGATCTTGCTGGGCACAGAGGTGAGACTAATAGGCCTGTAGTTCCTGAGGTCTTCTTTTTTTCCCTTTTTAAAAATGGGGGTTATATTTCCACTTTTCCAGTTAGTGGGAACTTCCCCAAACTGCCATGACTTCTCAAATATGATGGACAGTGGATTAGCAAATATACCTGCCAGTTCCCTCAGGACCCATGGATGTATCTCCTTGGGTCCCATGGACTTGTGCACCTTCAGGTTCCTTAGGTGGTCTCGCACCTGATCTTTTCCTACAGTGGGCAGTTCTTCATTCTCCCAGTCCATGCCTTTGCCTTCAGTAATTTGGGTGGTGTGGCTTGAGCCCTTCTCAGTGAAGACTGACCCCAAAATAGTGATTGAGTACCTCAGCCTTCTCCATATCCTGGGTAATGAGGTCTCCCATTTCCTTCTTGGGAGGGTCCACATTTTCCCTCATCTTCCTTTTGTCCCTGATGTACCCATACATTTTCATTTTAAAGCCTCAAATCTGTATTTAAACTTCTTGTTTGTGGGTTGGAAATTTGGCTCCAACAACTGATTACCACATTTTACAAATACTAGTAGAATGTCCTCAACTTTCTAGCTGAAATGTTTGTATATGAGAAACTGAAGTCATGCTCAGATTGTACTGTGTTCCATAAATATATTGAAGTGAAACAAACTGTAGACCCAGCTGAGGTAACATCAAAATAATTAAACAGCTGATTTAACTTTCTGTAACTGTCTTTAAGTCTGATTGAGCCCTCATAATGCCTAGAGAAGACCTGCAGTAGGATGTCACCTCATTTAAGTGGAGTGGACAGCAGCAAGGGGAAACCCAGCATTGTTTCTCCCACCTAGAAACATTTGGGAAGTAGTCTGAACTTTAACCAAGACTTTTGTATTTTTCCTTTAGGTCTAAGGTTTTCTAGACCGCAGGATGACTCTGTGTTCCTACAATCTATTCATCATTACCAGCAAGAACTGTCTCCTGGGAGCTGCAAACATGTTGAGATTCTGAAATTAGTTTTCTTGGTGGTTATATATGATGTAAGAACACGGCAGCTTGATTGCCATAATAATGGAACTGCCAAGCTTTGGCAGGGAGCGAGGCAGAAGAAGTGGGAAACATGAAACACATTGTAATTTAAATTCTGGTATTGGTCCAAGATTGCTTTAATTTTACTCATCTACTCCCAGAACCAGGAAAATATATTTTTTTAAAGCCTGCTGATGCTAAATGGCACTTTGGGGATGTAAACTTACTATCTCACCCACAAATTTCTCTGTACCCTGTATCCATGTTTAGCTATGTGGATTTTATTGGTCTTGGGCTCGTTATTTTTGCCTTAGGAAAATATTCTTATTTTACCCTAATTGGTTTCCCCACTACAAATATTAGAAAATGAAAATGTAACACTTTCCTGTAACTTGACAAGTATTTAAAGATGGGAAAATAAAAAGCTAGATAAATTGCAGATGTTTTTCTTGGGTAACTGTCATATTAACAGTTATTGTCTGTTAAAGTAAAAATTATTAAAAGCTTACATTTACGTGTAAGACATTTGAAAAGGATCTTTGTATGTCCTGTAGTATACATACATATACAAAATACATACAAATACATATATGTATACATATATGTATACAGTTATTATGTATAAGCAGCAGAATTGTGCATTCCAATAAAATGTACTTATTACTCTGTAGAGTAAGCAAGATGAAGAGGAATTCCTGTAGAGACAAACTGCAGGTAAAATTCTAAGTGTTGTAGTTCCATTAAAAAAACCAAGAGCAATATTCCTTTCTAAAATGTTCTACTGTTTCTTTATAACTTACTCCCCAAAGTCTCCAATCTGTGGAGTGAAACATACAGCAGAGCTGATTTAGCTAAAATGTATTAATTCCCCGCCCCCCTGCAGTTTTCAAGGGTGACTGGTGATCAGTCACTCTATCCGGTTCATCACACATCTGGACAAATTCTTATGCTGGCAGAGAGGTCAGTGGCAAGTGGACTGTTTCTTACAGCAAAAAACAACAGTTACTACAGGTTTACAGCACTTTCTGAGTTACGTCCCAGGGTATTAATTCATGGACAAGTAACATTGATATACAGATACCCCAAATGTGTTAATGTCTTGTTTGAATACATTTCAGATGTGGTTCTGATGAAGAAAAAGTGCTTAAATATATTCATGTCAAGAAGTGACATCAATAAATCAATATCAAACAGTGGGGAAAAAAAATTAGTGAGTGCATTCAGATTGGAAGGTCTGAAATCCTCTGAGAAGCTATGTTACCTGTAGCAGTCATCCCCTAAAATAGTGAATCTGCTAGGCAAGATGACCAGCTTGCTAAGTCACAACACGCTTTGCATGTATCGCTGCTTATCTCTTAGTATCTCCTACCGGTGCTGTGGAGGTCTGATTCTGCTTTGTTATCTAGGTGAGATCCAAGAACAAGTGTTAATGGTGGTACATGAGCACTTTATCTCCTAGACTGAATTCCAATACACATATACTGAAGTTCTTATTTCAGAATTCACTGTGAGAAATGAGACTTGAATTTGGATATCATGACAAAATAATGTATTTTCTTTTCTTTAAACCCTCTCCAGAATGAAGTAATTAATAAGGATTGTGAATGCCCAGTGTTACTACTACAGTTGTTTTAGCAGAACAGTAACATCAGTATTCTATTCAGTGCTGCAGCCTGTAACACTTACATGGCATAACTACCAGGGGACAATAATGGGTCACACTCTTTAAGTGATAAACAATGGGTTAATACCATCACAAGCAATGGCAAGAAATGTGGTCTTCATCTCCCCTTTATAATACAGGCTGTTTGAGCAGTAAAAGAAACTTGATTAACTTAGTGACTACTAAACAATATATGGTGGTTGAGGCTGTCAATATTCACTGACAAGGTAATCAGCAAGATGTCAATGAGAGATGGTGGCAGAGTGAACATGTTAAAGAGTTCAATGGCTTCCAGCCAAGAAATGATAAAAAGGGTAGAGTGGCAGGAATAGATGGTAAACTATTGTACCACTGCGGAAAATCAGAAGGGAAAGGAAAAACATGTCTGAGCCCTATGTTTGCTATGAAGATTTCTTTGGTCACAGCAAGAGACTTACAGTTAAATCTGTTAAATAGGAAGCAGATTGTGTTCCCAATGTTCCTTCTGCTGAAGCCCAAAGGAAGTTATGTCATTGATTTCAAAAGCAGTAGAGCTGGCTACATAGTAGCTAGGATGGCTCTTAAACAAGCAAAAAAATCTCTTCATGGTTTGTTTATGGCTTAATTTTGTAAGGAAAGATTGCAAAAGCATTTAAGCACTCCACCTAACTTCTGGGAGGAGAAGATACATAAAAATTTTCAACAAAATATGTCCTCAGATTCTTTGCAATCTCTCAATACCTTTGAGTTGTAAAGAACTGCTATTACTCCTCATTTAGAAAAAATACAATGCACCGCAGAACTAAAAGGCAGATTTTAAAATACATTAAGGTGTTTAAAGAAAAAAAATGTGAGATTTGTCAAAAGCAGGTGACAGCTAGTCATGTAACTCTTAAAGATATTTCAGGCACTAGGAATCAGTGGAAATTAAATGTGTAGATGCTTTAAAAAATACCATTAGTTAAATTATTAGTCACAGATGTACGTTTCAAAACCTGCCGTTAGGTTACTTTCTGGTTTCACAGAGGAACTCTGGAATGTAAATAGTAACTGAAACTCATCTCTGAAAATCTACATTTGAAACTTTTATTGGAGCCATTGACAGTATAACTAACTAACTAAAGTCAATGCCAGCATAATAATTTTGCATCATTATTTCATACAAAGATATTGATCTGAAAGCCTTACCGTCATAAAAAGTCTTTGCCAGAAAGATGTCCCACCTCTCCATGTGCTTTGACCAAGTCTGGTGGGTTTGTGCTACACAAGGATTTGACAGACTGTTAAAAGATGTCTTATGAATGAACAGAAAGTCTCATGGAATATTTTGTTCTCAGTGTTTCACCAGTAAAAAATATCCTGAATTTAGAGAGCTGTAATTTTTTTCGTAGTATATTTTTACTCTTTTTCATTCATTCCGATGTTCCTGAGCTACTCCTCACAAATCTCTTGCCACCTGAATTTCTCTGTTTCATAAGCTTCCTTCATCCTGTAATCTAGCTCTCCCATGTTTTGTCATCTTACTACAATTTTCTTTCCTATTCCTTCTGCCATTTTCATTTTCTGTGTGCCCCGTGGTTTGCTGTTGGTCTCACAGTGATTCCTCTTCCCTTTTCCCTATATTCATAATGTTTGCTACAAGCCACAAATGATAAGGATGTCTGAAAAACCCAGTATTCTCTTTTTTCTCCACAAAACCATGTGAACAAAAAAGTGACTGTGTGCATTTCAAAAGGATGGGGAACACAATGCCCTGTGCTCAGAGGAATAGGTTATGGTTTGTTTTACTTCGAGTAAAGAACTTCATTTAGAGTGGCAGGAACTGAAGCACTTTAGAGATTACTGTTTGTTCCAGATGAATTGTCATTGTCACTCTGCAATCTGTGACCTGTCTATGCTTCTTTATTGAAGTTGTCTCATAATTACCAAAGCTACTGTGTTCTGAACCTTGTGAATACTGTCATAAAGGGCATTACTTAGATTGTCCAGCTGGCAAATAGAGTTTGGCCCTTACAGGAGCCTTGGGTGTCCTGTTCTGCAGGTGACATTGATTAGATGTGCTGTAAGGCAGAGATGACATTTTAAAGGTTTAAATATGCAAATGATTTTTTCCCCACAGAAAGGATAGCCTTATGAAATGTTGCAGAATTTTCTCTTACAGCTAATCCAAAAAAAAGAGAAAAAAAAAAAAGAAAAAAGAAAGGAAAGGCTCATAGCTCCCCACATACTTTATCTCTGAGAGAAGCAGCAAGCAGGAGCTAAAACTGGAATGACCTGTGCTAAATTTGTGTGTTGAAAACTATCTTGACCACTTACATTTTCTGTGATTTTACATATGTAGTCACTGATTGGCTTCCATGTGTTAATTGTGTGAGTGAAACAGTTTACTGAGTTGGTGCAGTTATGCAGGCTGGCAAGTTCTCTCCCCTCCCTGTTTTCCTGTGTCGTACACTCAGCAACTCCAGTCCTTCCTCACACCAGGCCAGAAGGTTCCCGAGATTCTTTCTCTCTCTCACCCTCTCTTCTCCTCACATCCTCCTGCCATCGGAAGCCTTTCCTCTGCACTGCAGTTTGTCTCACTGTTCCCTTTCCTCCTCGCAGGGTATAGCTGCAGACCTATCAAGTCTTGTTGAGTGGCAGACTCACGTAAGTACTTCACTCCTGGTGTTTCCCTTCTGCCAGTGTTTTGTGCTTTTGAACGGTGAAACCACAGACCTTGCTCCTGCAGGAGAAGCCCACGGGTCTCCTGGAGCCCCTGGACAGGTGAGCTGCTGGATCTGTTACCTGCACTCACCTGTGTTTGGTG